TTTCCGCTTTCAGATACTCTCGAGCGTAATCAGGCTAAACTCCGGTGCTTCCAGGGAACATTATATTTTCCCTCGACTAACCAGTGGTTCTTCCTGATTCATACTGGGTGACCGAGAAACACGGGATATTTAGAGATCGGATCGTCATTGCGCATCTTGATATCGCAAGTTCCCCTTCACTAAAAGTTGTTGCAGACGCCACCTACCCCTGCCTTGATCCCGGACAGTGGGGATTTGCCGCTTTTTCTCTATCAGTACTACTGAATCATCAGATATCCAATGCCTTGGGTGGGCTACCGCTTCAGACCCACAAGCAACACTCGCAGCGGAGTGCATTGCTCGTCTAATCTGNTCTACACTACCACCCCGCCGAGCGTTTAGCTCTTGCCCTAGTTCTGATTCGAAACGTGCACGAACGGCTGGGTAGGAGTATGGGGCCCTTGAAGCACGTGGCCAAACCACTGAAGGTGTCGGCGTTGCAGCATTTTTGAAAGCTTGTCGATTTTCGAGCAAGGCAGTCGAACCCCATCATTGATAACCCGGTCTCTCCAATTTACTTGCGAGATGCGGCGCAAACACCAGTAATTAAATATCTCGAACATCCTTGCATCTTTTATTCTTAGTGGCCGTTATACAACTTTTGGTGAGGATGGAGCGGCTGGAAGTCTGACAAGCACAAGGCTTAGTGTTTAGGCTTACTTCGCATCGGTTCCTCGACGGTCCGAGGAGTTGCAGGAAGACTCTTCTAGTTCCATCTAATCGAAGTTGAATTTCATCTTTAGCCTGGTCACTTGGTTTGATTATAAAGCAAAATATTTGAAAACCGGGATTGATTCGACACGCTCCTGTTATGCGAGTGAAGTTTTGTCATGTCATATGTCGGGATCGAGCGTCCAAGATGCCCGATATACCTCGATGCCCAATCGAGCCAGTGACCAGGAAGGTGTGGTTGCGTGCGGTTCGTACGCCTCCTCTTGGTTGGTTTGGAATCGGGGTTTTTAGCCAACTCCCCTAGGTGAACTGTTAGTGGTTCACCAACCCGGTTGTAGCCCCGGATGTCGGCTTTTCATTCACTCAGTTTGGTGGGAAAACACCGCCCTGAGAAGTCATTGAGTAAGGTTTCCTCAGCAGAAGCTATTTAAGACTCTTCGTCGAATGGGAGGATTTTACGAGGCGCAAGGGAGGGGTGATCAGCCACAACCTAAGACACTCACCCCTGTCTATACTGAAGCTTTCGTAAGCTCTCTCTCTATATGTTTATGTGTATGCTCATCTTTATAACTGCTGCTCGAGCCAGGGACCTCACTAATCCAATATAAGCATGCTACCTACTTGATCGTGAGGAACCTAATGGGACTGAGTTACTCTGCCCAGTAAACGATATAGCACAACCCACATTTGAAAGCTGGTTGCGGGCAGCATATTAGCAACACCGTTATTAGTTAGTGATCATTATACTCCTCTCTGTCCCATCAAGTATTTTGTATGTACTCATCAACGACACACCACATGCTTTAAAGAAGAAATCTGGTCAGCGTTCAAATGTGCTGTTCTGAGATTTGATCCGATGTCTTCCATGTGCTGAACTTAAATTCCACTATCGAGCACAAGCGGCTTCCACCCTAACTGGATTTGATGTACCAGCCTTTGAGGACCATCCCAACAAACCTGAGATTTGTTTTTGCTATGGAGTTCTCAATTCTTTATCGATTTTCTCGTTATAGATTGCCTCACATGGACATTGACGTTGCATACCACGAATCTCTCTTGAATTTCAATGAGGCCGCACGAGGTTACGAAAGACGATGTGCTCAAGCCAAACAGAAGATCAAAGCGCTGTTGGATTTGGATTTACCCAGACAACATATACTCCTTCAAAAACTGACTCTTACAGAAAACCTGATTGACTCTGACCCGATTCCTCATTCCAGATTAAATGAACTCCCCCCTTTGTACACTGTTCCGTCGGGCGGGGTCATGGAAGATGGTTTTTATCCAGAGGAATTAAATCAAGCAGTCGAACGGATTGTGTCAATTCGCTTGGAAGTCTATCAACTTTCTACTAGTGGGTATACAAAATGCGGTAAGTCGGATTGACTTTTCTTTTAAATGTGTTTCTATCCAACTTTGAAAGCATGGACTATGACGAAGTTAATGTATTTCACGGAAAGAACATAGCTCCTGTCAATACGGAATTTTACACAACAAACATTGCATCGGCGTAAATCTATATACATTAAAAAAACTGTTGTTTGACGACTTCACAAACCCTCCCCACATAACACCATATTTAATCTTTTGGGATTTTTTTACGTTGCTCCATCCCTGTTCTCATTTCTTAAGTTGTTAGTTCCCATGACCAAATAATCCACCCCGTAATTATAAAGTTCACCCATTCCATCGTTTATAACACAGTCATCGCCATCAAAATCACGATTCTCACCCTGCGGCAAAATACAGTGGAATGATCTTCGCTGATCGGCACCCAGCTCGTAATATGCATGAGGAATGCCTTAGGTGCATGGAGAATGAGTCTTTAAAAAGGGTGAAAAAGTGACCCTCTATGGCCACCACACCTTACACCTTACAACACACTTTTTCGGATATTCTATGCAGTTCATACAACCATCTTCGTGCACTTTCGTGTGGCGGTTTTGGTTGCGGCCTTTTAGCTACCCATTTTGGATGCAAAAGAAAGTCGAGATCTGCAATCTTGGAAGCAGTGTTAATGTGAAAATAGAGAATTCAGGTTGACCAAGGCTACAAAGAAACTGAATCAATGCACCAGCGCCACTGTTTACACCACTCAATGTCTCTAGCTATCGTTTACACCAATCCCGAGGTCCCCATTCAGGAAGCCTAACGCGACTTATATAACTGAGTCTCCTGGTTAGGGTTTTCATGCCCTCACCAACTATTGCTTTAACCACCCTTGATGTGACAAGACGGTGAAGAGGGTCATCTAGAATCGTATGGGCAACTTTAGTACGAGTTTTGATGTGACCATCAATGATTTCTGTGATTAATGAAGCGATCGGGATTGATGATGCACGACTGATGATCATCAACTCACGGCGAGTTGTTTTGAAGTGCGTTCAGAGAGCGCAGCACTTGGCGGATCTTTATAGCGTTAACTAGAGGTAGAACAGAGGTTCCAGGGAAATAAAAAGTTAGGNGTAGGTTAATTGAGTAAGATGGACCTGATGGCAATCCAAGGAGCCAAAACAGCTTTCCTGTGTGGATCACATACAAGATCTAAAGAATCATAGAGGCGAGGGGAGGTTAGAGGGACGGAACTTGTGGTAACCTACTTTGGTAACAGACCGAAATTTTCGGCTAACAGTGGCGGATGAGAACAAGTGTTCGGCTTTACAGCGACTGAATTGTTCTTTGGTTCTCTGTTCCTAACTTGTACGAAGTGGTGGTGGGAGACTGGAGTAAGCGAGAGGCGCCATCAGAGGAAGGTTGAGCTTTTTAGGCATACAACACCATCACCTGTTTAGTTACCTCACCGAAGGGATTTCGGTTTACCGAGTTCGGGTAAGTGTAGAGTAAAAAAATCATATCTTGAAGAACAGATTTGGAAACGTCTGATGTGAAACATATAAGAAGCTAGGAAGTTGCGAAAACCGTCACAGTTGGCTTGGACGTCTAAGATGTATCTTGGGATGGACTGAGGGTCGTTTGAGTAGCTTTGATAGAGCAAGAAACAAAACAGTGGATCCGATGATCTAAATGGAGGGAGAGTGATGTTTGACGTGAAAATGATGCCGAAACGATCATTGAATCGAGGGTATGGGCGGTCACCGGTTCTGTCAGGGAAACTTATGGGGAGGTCAACTAGCCGACTCAGGTTGTTGACCAAAGTGAAGCGTTCAGTCTCGCACCCTAAACACGAGCTGTTGACAGAGTATCAAACATTTTTGATTATGAACTTTGGAACCTCTCAAGATGGTAAAATGGCAGATCGGGTCCGTAACACAATTGCTCAATAGTAAAACAAATAACCAACGATGGGGGAGTTACCACTATTGAATAAACGCTAAGGGAGAGAAGTAGTGATTGAAAGGAGTTCAGAGCTTCAGCGTAATCAGCTGAAACTCACGACTGATTTCGTGTTCTGACGGCAGCGACTGATTGGTGGATAGGGGCACAGACATCAGCCTTGGGTAAAGAAAAAGAGTTGGTGACTTGAAGGTGAGTAGTACCCCGACAAGGGTGAAATTTGGATTTCTGTCAAAAATAGAGGGAGAAGTGTTGAATAATACAGACAATGGTGTACGAAATCGATGTTGCAGCTTTTGAAAGTTCCTTGTGCAATGCATGCTGAAGGCCTCAGAGTGTTTTGGAGTTAAAATCTTGACATGCTTGTAGATGTTTGCCAAAGTGATAGTGGCCGCAACTGTCCCCAGCGACGCTACTGCATTTAGATCTGTGTTTTAGTGATCCTGTCAGTAAATGAAAGTCTTTTTCAACAGACCGGGAAAAATCTCTGGGGAACAATGCAACCGATCGGGGGAGGGGGCACGTATGCATTCACAAATTTAACAATGAACCTGTGGGGAACAGGAAGTATTCTTAATCAGAGTCAAATATACAACAGCTTTCTAACTGTGCAGAATACGTCCTGAACGTGCAGGGACCATGGTGAATTGTCTAATAGTGTGACACCGAGATATTTTACCATCGTTTTTGTCGGTCTGGGTTCATGATTGATAGAGACAGAAGGAAACCTATTTGCAAGGGCTTTATTTGGTTCTTCGGTCAATAGGGGAAGCACAACATCCTGAGATTTTGAGGTATTCAATAAAGAGGAATGAGACAGGGACCAGTTTGCAGCATCATCTATCTTGCTCTGAGTTTCTAAAGCCTCATCGGGGGTGGGTACTGTCCATTTTAAAACAAAGTAATCAGTTTTGGAGTATTCACACGGGGATCACAATTTTCACTTCTGTTATCTCCCCAATGGAATCCCATGGTTTGAACTTTTTTCTTCTACTGTTCCAACACTGTTACGCATATATGACTTCCTTATGCTTCCTTCGTGTGTGATAACTACAAAGTTTATTTACCTATTCCGTTTTCGCGTCATCCAAATAGTCCAATGGAGTCAGATCCTGGCAGAAGTTGAAGAAATCGAAGCCAGAGTTTTATCTGTTCTCGTATTACCTTCCAATTCACTTCCCGACGATACGGGATCGAATACAAATCGACAACTCACATTTGTGGTCGATAGGTTGGAAGCTCAAGCTAAACGATGCTTAGAGACGGCAAAACAGCTAGCCGCGACCGGATCNCCGGATCCACTCCAAGCAAAACAGCCAATAAAGTGGTTAAAAAATCCACTCCAAGAGGCGATAAACCGAGCGCCCACCCTTCCGAGGCAGTTACAAAGGTTCGTCCATTCCCTCACTTTTACTATTTCTCATGACTCATAGCCGGTGGTAGAGATTAATTTTACAGTCCCTAGGTCAATTGTCCGCAACTTTTGATCCCGGCTACCTATTGCTTTCTATCTGTATGCCTGATATATCCACGAAATTGATATTCAGCCGGAAATCGAATGTCCGTGTTTGTCCGTTCGATCGATCGACTTGTTCTGATTTACTCCACTGCGGCTCGCTATTTGAAGACCACAAGCGAGCTGCATAAAGATCATCAAGTTTTATGGGAGTTTAGTGCAGGCAACGTTCCCAACGTCATCCATTTCCGACCTGCCAGGCGCACTTTCGGCCTTTGCATAGCCGATTGCGGACGGCGAAGCAGCACTGTGTTGGTGCGTATCAACCGGGCGGAGCCCTAGGAACTCACTAGTCGTTCACTAAATGTAAATGTAACCCAAGGGTCTAAACATCACTGTTAGTTGGACTGATTTCCTTCGTAGCCGTTTGATCAGGGAGTAGATGTCGTTCGTTCAAAAAGGAATAGCTGTCTTTGGATGTCGTATACCCTTTTTCCAGTGGTTTTAGACTTC